CACTTGAAGTCTTTTCACTAGTAGAAATAAGTGTGGCATAAATGACACAAGGTGATCATTTTTTTGTACCATGCAAGAAAGCTCTTGCACCTACAAATATAGGTTTAATTATACTAGACTTATGACTTTCTACTTGATTAACTATACTCTTAGTTATACTTTTAGAAAATTCAAGACTACGAGAAGTCTAATGTATTTTAGGATTATATTTTTTTAGCCATGATAAACCTAAAATGATTAGATTAGACGGAGATCTAATGATATTAAATATTACAAAGCTACTATGATCATTAGTTGCTACTTCTATAGGAAGGATTTTATGAGTAACATCTCTTGAAGACAATAGATGACCATCTATAACTTCTACATGAACAGGTTAAGTTTTCTTCACTAAAAATATGCTATGTCTTTTAGTAAATTCTTCATCTAAGAAACATGTCAAGGCTCTTTAATCTAGCAAGGAAGAGGCTTTGTGATATTTAGGTCATAGAATAATATTTATTATAAAATATGGAGAGGATTTTGAGGAGAAGATAGGACCTTTACTAGACGTTGTACACGGTTCCAGCCGCACGGTCCCTATTGTAGCCAAACAAATTCATATTTTGACATGCTATCTTCTTTGATAGTTGTATTCCTCATTTTATGGTTATGTCGCTTCTTTGAGTAATATTGAGTAGTGTGCTTAGATTCTCCATAATATAAGCACAATCCTTCTTGACGATGATGAGTCTTTATTTACTCAATAAGAGGTTTGAAACATATAGCATCAATTTACATATCCTCTACTTCCGAATGTATGTATTAAAAAGATGTTGGTGTTACTATTGAATTATAGTAATGTTGAGGTCTACTTGTACGGTTCTCATATTGAAATTCAAAAAGATGATTGTCGTACTTCATAGCAAATTCAATTGTTTGACTCAATGTTTGAAAATCAGATAAGTTGAACATTAATTTTTTACCTCATATTATAATTTTTAGAAAAATTGGCTAACAAGTGCAACATCATCCCACTTGATATTAATTGCAAGTTGTCAAAATCGTAAAACATACAATATTACCAATGGATTATGTTGTTATAAAATACGGATCTTCTAGGTTGCAACACAAATTGCATCATGTTTTCCATACATGGATCAAAACTCCACTAAAAAAGCCTCCAGATTATCCAATATTAGATCTCATCATTCAAAAAAAGATGAAAATCATGATAATGTTGATTCTAAAAGAAGCGTACCAATGAATCTAACTTACGATCCTAAAGTTGGATAATTTTGGAATTGATGTTCAATCAAAAATTGTACTTGATTGATAAATCTTCTAAATTTTGATTTGGTACCATCAAACTTCTTGAGTAGGGTAATTTTTGGTTCTCTAATACGAGAAGCGTATTCTACCATAGGAGAAGGGACATGATTTGGTGCAGATATTGAAGTAGCTCCAATCATTTCTATATCTTCACTTTCTGCCAATCTTGTTGTTCCTTGTGATGGTAAATTGAGTTGATGCATCACAAGCATTAATTTCCTCAATTATTCTTGTATTTGTGCCATTGCACTCTTTATTTCAACAAGTTTTACGATGATAATACTTAAAAAAGAGAAGATGTCTAATATCGTTGAAGATAAATATAAAAGAGGACTTAAGAACAAAGAAAATACTAAGAACAATATCAGTTTGGAAGAGGATAATCCACAACTTTTAATATGCTTATGTCTTATCAAGAGAAAAGATAATATACTCTTAATCAAGATTAGATAAAGCTTTGATATCATAAGTGCACTCTTGTCAATCTGTCAAAGATAAAAACTTGATTAAAACAAATAAATAAGTGAAAAAGATGACAAAATAAAAATAACTAAATATGTATATTAAAAAAGAAATTGAAATGGCTATTGTCACTAGCCAAGAAAATTAGAGATCCTTGAAACTAGACTAGAAGCAAGAAAGGAGTTGACAAGAGTGAAGAAGGCTTCACTCTTGCCTCAATATATACTTATCTAAGAACCATGTGGCAACATTCTATAGGACCTCCAAAAATGTGTTGACTTTGTACAACATGTATGTTAACTTACAAGGTAAGTTTCCTATGTGGACGCCATATAGTTAGCTTGTTTTGCAAGCTACCAACATGTGTGGCACATGGTTAATTTGTTGACCAAGTTTCTAACCTACCAATCAAGTATAAACATATGTAAAGTCAAAGTAGCATCATGAAGCTTCTAGGAAGCTTTTCTTGAAGATATTATGAAAATAATCTATTTTTACTTACTTCTACCTATTCATATGACCTAGATAATAATTATAATAAATATATGTCTGTGACAGCAATTCACTTTGAATTTTAGACCATGTTAGATTTGCTATCACTGTCATAAAAATATCAAGATGTTGATAAAACCTTGTAATTATCATAGAATCTTAAAGTATTTCTATCATATGTCTTGCACTTCTAATATATGATGATGGAAGTAAGATCTTACATCCTAAATTATTTAATTCATGTCATCTTTCTTCATGCCCAATATTTTGATAAGTTACAATAGCATCCATTAATCCTTGGTATAAATTAGCACATAGATTTCTTTGATTGTAACATAGATATTGCAAACGTGATTGCTCAATTATTATCTATCTGTCAACCATAACTTCTTGTAATAGCTTTCTTCTACTCAAAATTGTGGAATATCTAGTAGGCCTTAAAAAAAGTCAATAAGAAAAATAATCCATTTATATAAGGTTGTTGCCTCTCTAATCCTCTCATCCAGCATCTTTTCTTTCTTCAACAATATCCATCACTACATTTTGTGCCCTTAGGTTAGGATGCCATCCAAAGGTTCCATGCAAAAAAAACAGAACATAATGAAAGGAGCAAATAAGCTAGATGAGCCTCATGAATCCTTTCTAATAATCCATTACTACATAGGTGAATAATAATATGAAGTGCATTATGCTCCAATCCGTCTCCAAGTAATATAATAGCAATTTATTCAAAAGTGGTGGAAAGATTATATTAGCGTCTATTGCTTTCATTCATAAAATGAAAAGGAATAATAAGATCTACTTCTACTACTCCTTCATTCTACACGTGAGATAGTATTTCATGTGCCTGTTTATATAATCCAATAAACGGATTAATTTTCTTCAAAACTTCTGCAATTTCCTATTTAGTTTGACTCAATAAACCACAATTATGTCTCATTCTTCTATCTTGTACAAATGATGCATTATGGATATACAACTGTGCATAAATCAGGTCGTTACCTTCTTCTGGTAACAACCCTCTCACTAAATGGCACAACTCTCCATTTATTCTAAAACTATATGGAGCATTTTCTTGAAGCATAGATTGATCAATATTTGCACCTAAGGACGTAGACACATGTGCAACATTGTATTAATGGATATTTTCTTAGAACTCCATTATTCTTGCATCTTGGTCTTCGAATAAGTGTCTCAAAAGCAAAGGCAAAGAATGTAGAGATGGTAGAGAAACTTTTCTTTGATGACAACATTGTCCAAATAATGGCAACTTTCTTGGCGACTGGGCTAAATGTTCATCAAACTAATGCAATGCGTTACAATGAGGACATAAAACATTCATCTTCCCTAGATTATGTATGGCTTCAGTACTTATAACTATTTCAGCTTTTCTTTGTACTCTCTCACATCCTCTACATTGTCGTTGAGCAATTGCTCTATGATTTATTATTAAAGCTGGACTATTCATAACAGCATGGATGGCTTCAGTACTTGTAACTATTTCAGCTATTCTTTGTGCCCTCTCATGTTTCCTACGTTGTTGATGAGCAATTGCTCTTTGATTCATTGTTAAAGTCGGATCATTCACAACTGCACGGGTTTCACTAGAGAATTGGAGTAAGCTTGGAATCATCTAAATTATACCTCTATAAAATTGTACCTCTATAAATTATACCTCTATATTTACTAAAAAAATATATTATTATTTATTTATATACACAAATAGATATATATATATATATATATACATATGAAGTTGAATATAAAAAATCTCATATAAGATGAAGAAATGAAATTCTTATAATTTAATTTTTGTATAGCAATTCTTGTTGTAGTTAAAAATACTTGTAAAATTCCAATAAAACTTTGTTGATCAAGAACCCATATTTATAATGAAGATATAATATGAAATATAATATAATAAAAAATTACAAATACAACTATAAAGATAAAATTTATTAAAATATTAAAATGACTTTATTTATTTGAAAATTCCTATATAAATCTGTGTTTAACAATAATATCCTAGCTTTTGTTATAGAAGAAAGAAAGATAATAGCCAAAGGATGTGAAATGCGTGTAGTGTAGAATCAAAAAAGTCAAGTAAAAAATTCTTCTATTTATGGTTTCTTTACTGAAGGCTTGCAAAAAGTTGTGATTCAAACTTTTTAGTCTTCATGCCTATACTTCAAAGGATTAAAAAATAATAATTGCTTGAATTTTCCTTCCAATCGGCTTTGCAATTCAATTATCCTTTCCATTACCAGCAGCTTGTCATTTGTAAAGTATAATTTTGGCATGAATTAAAAATAAATTTGACATAGCTAGAGTAAGTGAACTTTGATTTTCATAAAAATATTACAAATGAATTCATTTTCTTGCTTTAGAGCAAGATGGTCCAATAATGAAACTCAATGTTGATCATAATAAAATCAAAGAGTTTTTTTTTTTGTAATAAAATGAATTTAAGTAGAATAATAAATATTGATGCCTCCAAATGACCTACATGGCATTCCTGGATTAAACAGTTTCCAAATGGGCACCATTCATGTGAAGAATTATCTGAAGATTCACAAATCAAAATGAATCAAAATGAATCAAAATGAATAAGTACAATAATAAATATTTATTATTATATCATTTTATATCATTACTTACTTTTGTATTTAAATAGATATATGTATATATTTATACATATGAAGTTGAATATAAAAAATCTCATATTTTTTTCGTAGTAAAATGAATTCATAAAGTTAACTTTGATTGTCATAAAAATATTGCAAATGAATTCATTTGCTTGCTCTAGAACAAGATGGCCCAAAACTTAATTCTTTGTAAAATGATACTGATCATATACAATGGCTTCTTCTCATCATCTGATAAAACCTACAACTGAAGGCACGAACAAAATCAGTACCCATAAAACAAACTAATGTAAAAAATAAAAATAAAAAACTTAGAAACTTGCTCGACTTGTGTTTTACTTCCTCAGGTGTAATTGTGTTTTACCCAGGTGTGGCTTCTGCCTATGGCGGCTTACCTCCTGAGGTGTGCAGTGGACATCGCGGCAAGACTTAGAGCTGCACGACTTGTGTTTTACCTCCTCAGGTGTGGCTTCTGCCTACGGTGGCTTACCTCTTGAAGTATGCACTGGATTAGCTTCCAACACTGGGGCAAGAGCTAGAGCTGCACCCACTCCCAGCGGTACCAACATTCTGCATCCACTCCCAGCGTCACCAGCATTCTGCACCCACTCCCAGCGTCACCAGCATTCTGCACCCACTCCCAGCGGTACCAGCAAGCGATAAAATTCAAGCAATAAAATTCACTCGTAATAATCCAGTTCGTAAAATTCATCCAGTTCGCCTCAGTACTTTGCCATACGACCACACACAACATCCAGCCAACCAGCCAGTCGGACGCAGCAGCTCGATACCGTCGATCCACCTGCAACGCGTAGCTTACCTCCTATATATGCATATATGGATCGATTTTTCATATTGTCAATTTTTTATACCGTCGATCCACCTGCAACACGGCTTACCTCTTGAGGTGTGCACTGGATTAGCTGGAGCTGGCAAGAGCTGGAGCTGCACCTACTCCCAGCAGCACCAGCATTCAAGATCATCAAGCCATGGATCTTTCCCCGGCCTTTCTTCGAACTATCCAGTTTGCCTTAGTGCTTTGCCACACGACCACACACGACGACATCCAACCAACCAGCCAGCCGAACGCAGCAGCTCGATACTGTCGTGTAGAGCTCTCTACCCACCACCGAGATCATTGTGATGAATCCCTTGCATTCTCCACTCCTAGCGGCTCCCCACTCCCAGCGGCACCAGCATTCAGGATCATCAAGCCATGGATCTTTCCCCGGCCTTGCTCCGATCCATCCAGTTCGCCTCAGTGCTTTGCCACACAACCACACACGACGACGTCCAGCCAACCAGCCACCTGAACGCAGTAGCTCAATACCGTTGTATAAAGCTCTCTACTCATCTGCAACGCGTAGCGACTACCACCTGCTCTTCCATTCACTCGAGAAGAAGAATGCAGAAGAATGCTCTGAGTACAGGAGGCGGCACACGGAACGTATTGACACAACACGTTATCCCGAAATAGCAAGTTATTAGTTCTGTTAAGGTCTTGTTTTCTCCACATAAAGTGAAGTTTTTTTGATGAAAACGAAATGAGAGCATGCGGTGAAGGAGAGCCACCACTTGTCTCCTCGCACCTGTCTAGTTGAGCGATCTTAATATATATTTATATATATATATATATATATATAAGTTCAAATTTGAGCACATTATTTTTATTTCCATGAGAAAAACATTTAAAATTATACATTTTAATAAATAACTAGCACTTTATAATATAATTACAACATAATCTATTTCTAATTTATTAAAAATTTATAGCTCATATTATGTCCAAGAGAAACATCATTTGCACCAGAGAAAATATATCCATCATTCAACTCTAAACGAATACTATGAAGTTTTTCTTTTTGTTTATTTATCTAATATTTTATTATTTATAACTCTATGTTTTGAATACTCCTTCAACAGTGCAAGTTGTATAAGAATTACAATATTAAAAACAACGAATGCAGTATCATGGATTCTGTGACGTAAATTAAATCTGTCACATCAAATCCTTGTTCATTTTTATTTTGATTTTAGAAGTATTCCTGATTAGACTATTTTTTACCCATTTCTCATTCCTAAATTTATTTCTATTTCTTTTACTACTTCAATCTTCCAATTCAATATTTAAAATAAAATGCATTTGAATCATAGTTATGCACACAAAATTCAATCTGAGTTTTTTTAAAAAATAAAACACTTTTTCGTTAAGGTACTTTTTTTTTATGTATTTATTGTTGGCTTTGTGTAGCATGGTTTAATTTAATGAAATAATGAAACAAAATGAAATAAAATAAAATTCTCATTATTGAAGAAGGTCCCTTATGTACCCACCTAATAATATAGACATATAACCCCCTAATATTAGACATTTGAAAAAGAACAGAAGTTGCAATGAACTTCAGGTGTGAACAGGTCTATGGAGGTTTAGGGTTTAGGGTTTAGCACTTAGGGTTTGTGGCCTTGTCTCCGAGGGCACAAGGCTCTGTTTCAGCACCACCTACATCGGTATCTTCGGTGAATTTCTGAAGCTGTTAACTTCTGTTGGATTTCTGGACACCTTACGAAGCTCACTTGAAATCACAAAAGAGGTAATGCAGCGTTGCTATACCTTTCTTCATAATTTTACTGATTCGTTTTCCAGGATGAAGATATTGCATCTGGTTTATCTGCTAGACTTCGCTAACTACACGAAGAGAACGGAGTTGCGTTGTTTCTAGGGGAAGTTTAGACACCAGGTTATCTACACACGAGGTTTTGGCTTTTTAATTCATGAAATGCGTTGGCGGTTGCCGTTTTTTTTTCTTCTGTAATTAGGGCTGTCAGAGTCAGTGGAGGTGATGATTTTGGATTGGGTGTATCCTCTTAGGTCTCAAAACGTTTTTGCGTTTTGTTGTTTGTTCAAGGAATAAGATATGTTTTTTTGCTCTCGGGCAAATGTAGGTGGCCAAGGTCACAGGACACACAAGGAGGGTGAGTACTGAACGTAGGAGGGAGTAGAGATGGCGAAAGGAGACGATGCTTTGGCGAAGAAGAAGAATAAGGCCATTCGTAAGCGCAACCGAAGAGCTGGAGCTAACACGACTGAGGCTATTGAGGGAGTCCAGTCTCACAAACGCCGTCGGAAAGCCGGGACTCGTCGAGTGTGTGAGGTACCTACACGCTTTTCATCCCATTGCGGTTTAAACATAGAATTACGTTCCTCGTGTTAATTAATTTTATTATTATTATTATTGTTATTGCTTGATGTGGATGGATTTATTGCACTTTAACCATGGTATTGGTGTTTTGTAATAGAAGAGAATTGAGCCGCGCGATTATTTTTTGACTAGTAGACGTCGGTTTTCTTGGTCCCGTAATTGGCCGAAACCACAAGTTTTTGAGCTTAGAAATGCACTAGATCTTTGGGAAAACTTGGAAGAATTGTTATCTCAAACGAGTTCTTCGTTGCCATGAACAACATGACTATTTGTTTGGTCTTCAAGAATCCTCAAAGTTAAAACTATTATTTGGTCCCTACCGCAATTCTTCGTGTGCCCAAGTTGTTATCTCGAAACCTAGACTGCATGTTATCTTATATCCCATGTATTGAATTAGAAATTTTTGTGGAGTCACATTTTTAAACCAGAAAAAACTCAGTTGAAGCTCGTCACGTCTAAGATTTTGCATGTGTTTATCTGCAGTCAATGTGCTACTCACTCCCCACGCCAGACGACCCATTTTTGGATAGGAAGATACACCGTAAGAATCATGACTCCTTTCAGACAAATGGTTCTGCCAATTGGAAAGTTGAGGAACGAAGAAGCGATACTGAACGTAAACACGAGAAATCCACAGAGAACGTGATGTCGCGGAGTACTGATGTTGTCAAACCCGAAAAAGTTCAAGCCAATGGCTCTCGTAAGGAAGACATTAATAAGTTCACTTCAGCACCATTGAAGAAAGTTGTTTGGGATCCAAACTGTGATCGCAAATCATCGGAACCAAAAGCCGGGATCAGTGATGCATTGTGTACAGCTAATAATGCCTTTCAGTTGGCAGTTTCCGCCCTTTTTGAAGACAGATATTCTGAAGGAAGTTCCTCAAAGCCGCGTGCAGCTGCAGCTACCAACTTCGAGCAACAATGGTGGCAAGCATGTGCACAAGGAGTAGACGTACTTGGAACTGGTTGTGGCACTCCTTGCATCAAAGCGTACACAGTTGGGGCTGCTCCTCATGTTGCTGTTCAAAAGAAGGTTTCTGGGTTGGCGCAGGGTCCATTTGCTTTAATATTAGTGAAGTCAAAGGACCAAGCTCAGTCTGTGAGTCTCTTAATCATGATCCGTCTTTGGGTCCCGTTTGTATCTTCTAATAAGCTTTCAGGTTATTAGAGTTAAATGCAATCGTTTACTTTTTTAGGAGACTTCCTACAATGTTTTTAGAATGTTATAGGTGTTCAGTTGTGACCGTATCGATTGAATGTCTTTCTATTATAGACAGATTTGTGTTCAATTTATACGCTATGTCATTTATTTTTCCTTATCTCTTTGTTTGCAGGTGCGCCAGATTTGCAAACTTCTGAAGAAGGTTTTAAACATTCACACAGTTAGTTTGCACTCTGAGAAATCCATCGAGCTCCAAGTTAATGGGTAGGTCAACTTATCATATCATCTATTCTTTTTAATGAAGTATTGATTGAAACGGAATTATGATTCTGCAGATTTCTATTCAGTTTTTTCTTTTTTTCTTTTTTCTTTTTTTCTCCTTTAAATTACCTGTCAGGATTGGTGTGTGAGAGGGTGACAGAGCTCTTAGTTACTTGGGCTGGAGAGTGCAGGATGTGACCAATCATGAGATTCATACCTTGGGTTTTGGGAATCAGGCTCGCTATGCAGACACCAGGAATCGTAGTAGCAACGCCTGACCGTCTTTGTCAGCTGCTCACCCTCAGCGTTTTCAGCCTTTCGTCAGTTTCATATGTGGTACGTGGAATATGTCTTGTTCTTTTTGATTGTCAACTCTGTTTGTGTTCTTGAACGGAAATGAGTTATTACCAATTTAAGTAAGAATAGGTGCTTCAAAATATATTATTGCACAGGATGGTGAGCGCTTGCCCTCACCTATTGTGTAATTTCCTCTTCGAATTTTCTGGTAAAGTCGTTGTACGTACATTCTGCCATTGTCCGTCTCTTCTGAGAGTTTCCTTACTTCTTGAAAACCAGTGCACATGGGTTGACTGGTCGTCCCCACTGTCGTCAATGTCAATACACCGGGATACTTATTTCAGAATAATATTCATGTCTCAGGTCGTGGATAGCTTAGATGACCTTATCAATGAAGGCTATAGAGAACAACTGGATAACATCAAGCAACAACTCCAGAAGGGCGTACAAGTTGGCGTTATCAGTAAAACGTTCTCGGCGGATGTGGTTAGTGCCGCTGGAAATTGGCTTCAACACCCTGTTGCCAGAGCTGTATTAGACAAAAATGTGCCAGCTAGCAGCGCTTGTATTTTACAGTCAGTCTCTGTTACTACGACGGAGGAGTCGAAGTTAACTAAGGTAATACTCACGTCATGGACTGAATGTTATTGTATTAATATCTATGTCATTAGTCTTGGACAATCTCAAGTGATTTAGGAAACTAGAGGTTACTTTGCCAGCCATCACTATAGGAGCATCTCCGTCATCACAATGTGGACAAATTTTCACATCATGTATCCTCTCAAACAAGGATATCAACAATTCTTTTCTTTTACTGTGAATTTTGTTGTGAACTTGATTTGTAGCATACTTATCTATTCTTGATTTGGACATCCCCGTTCATTAAATGTCTGTTTTAGTAACGTTGATCGTCTCCTAGTAATCCCAAACGCTCAGATCTAAATGAGAAAGTAGTGCTACGCTTCTATGAATTTAATCTCATCTATGCCATTTTATTGATCCAGTTCAACAAGATTCTTGAGCAGATACGAAAGAATCTAGAGGATAACCACATCCTAGGAAGTGTGTTAATTCTTATAAAGGGCAGTGAACAGTTTCCAGTTTTGAAGGAGTTGCTTTTAAAACACAAGTTGACCCCGCATTTTATCAACGAATCTGCTGGTGTACCAAGGTAAAAATACTTCTCTCTTGTTAATTTTTTAATCACCTGATCGTTTTTGCGACCCTTTCCTCAGAAATTTAGTTAATTTCACCGGTAAAATTCAGATGAAACATGGTCTGAAGTGGTTTGCACTTGATGCTTTCAGAGCCGATGTGGCTCTCTTGGGTGATAGCATTCCTTTCTATTTTCTCTCTTGAAGTTTGTACAAGCAAGATGCATCTTTGTTCTATACAGTGTTTCCTGTGAATGTTTCAATATGTAGATTTCGTTCGCATTTTTTTCCTTAAAATCATGCTTAACAGGAGGAATGGTTTCAATCTCTATTGTAGGAGTCATCAGGAGAGGGTCCAATTAAGTCTCGCCTTCTAAGTTCGATTGGCTCCTTATTTTCTCTTCAGCACCATGATATTTATTAATAACAAGGTGTCACGATTTTCGTGATGACAGGAAACAAAAACGGAGTATAATGGTTGCAAAATTTGATGATAAAATTGAGCCATCAGTGCTGTCAAAAGTAGAAGTGGCCATTAATTACGATTTTAGTTGGCCCATACATCATTACACACAAATTTTGACCGGGATGGCGCGGAGTAGTGTGAAGGGCAGGATTGAGACATTGTGCAGTGGAGCGGCTGCATTACATGCTGATAGTTTGGTGGAAATATTGGAGACCTGTGGGCAGTCGGTGCCCAGGCCTTTGCTTCTACTCGCTCAAGCAGCCGCCCTCTTACGTAAATGACGTGTACTATAGACCCAATTTTCGAAGTTGTTTGGATGATTTTTTTCAGGTTTATACATCCTGAAGCGAGTTTAATGATTGTCACATCTTAAAATTTGTGATCAAGGGTTTTGAGAAAGAGTAATTATAATCTAACCCATCTCTATCAGCAAATACAGATTTCTTGACTCTCTTGTATTTCGTTGTCCTTCGTCTTGACTACGTCCATCCTGCAAGTAGAGTATTGGTGAAAACTCGAGTGAGATTGTTTGACTACCAGCTCATTTTGCTTATGGAACACGGAGGATACGGCTAATGTTCTGTTTACTTAGCTCAGGTTCTTTGTGAAACTCAACTGGGGCAGTAGGCTTAGATTTCACAGGAATCCGAACTCGACATTGGAGAAACTGCCACTTTCAGCATTCGACGGATTGAATGCTTGAACTGAAAAGATCCTTGAATGGATCAACCCAACCTCCTATCAATTTGAGAATGGATGGACTCTTGAAACCACAGACGCTGTCTTTACATCCATTTGGATTGCTTGGATATGTGCTTCCCAAGTTGTGAAGGAGAACTACACTTTTATTGACTGCAGTTGGGACGCCAATGATATACGTGCATGGTAAAACAGCCTGATTGGTGGTATCTGGATTCTTGAAGACGACAAAGCCTCGAACGAAATTAGTATACTGTGTGTGGGGACTCTATCGTTGTACTGTGGAAGTCGCTGTTGAGCAACTCTAAATCCTCAACTTAGGACCACCGAGATGGGTCTGCTCATGGGTGTAGTGAACCATTAAACTTCAGTTCATTAGCCTGAATATGTCCGTCACCCTCGCATGCTTCTGGAAGGTTGCTTACTTGTCAACAAAAGTTCTTTGGCGTATCAGAATTTGTCGGTTGGGTGGGGCCTCTACCAACTGTCCATGACACGGTCATTTGCCTCGTCCAGATTTTGGGAATTGTTGTCCTGAACCCTTTGATAATGGTTTTAACTAGAAAAGAGAAATAACATGCAGATCGTCTTGGTTTGCATTATAATGAAACCGTTAAAAGGCTTGTTGTGCATTATAATGAAACCGTTGTACATTTGAGGCTTCTAAGACCTACAAAGTCCAGATGTGTTGTGCGGGAATTGGGAGGATTGTATACACTAGTTGTGGAATGTGACATGTATTTTTGAATTGATTGTAGGATTAATAGGTTAATAAGGTAGGTTGATAATATATAAAAGACGCTAAATTTTGCATCGTTTTTGTAGGTATTTATTAAAATTTAGTATTGTGTGAAATAACTATCTTGTTCAATTTAGATATACAATAGTGGAAATTTTTGTGAAATGATTTTAAAGTTAGTTTTTGCATCAGTACTGAGCTATTTAAGAGGTTAAACATATGATTGTATGTAGAATAAAATTAACAGAAATATTCTACTTTGATGATTTTTAAAGAGTAAAGAGGTCTTTATATCAAGGAGACAAGGTGAAAGGGTGCAACTTTTAAGCCCTTTTAATTTGCTGAAACTAAATAAATCTCTAGATTTTGGTCAATCTAAAAATTTTAAAATTATGGTTTTTCAAATTTTCTCGAAAGTATAAAGACTCTCTAAATGAACTATTATCTAAGGTAGAAACACTAACAATATCAAAGATAATTAAAAGTAAAGAAATTTACAATTGGAGTGTTAGTCTAATACACAAATATTATTAAAAATAACTGAATGTGCATTGATCAAAGCATGTTTATACAGTGAATAAGAAAAGTCCTGCAATACCCAAATTTTCATTTTTGGTTTTAAACAAGTGTGTAAACTTTTATATAAATGGATTGTTATTACATTAATTTATAAGATTTTAAAACAATAAACTACATCATTTTTAAAAGTATGATCAACAAGTTTAGCATATTGCTCCCAGCACATAATTTGCATGGTTAAAGTTTCCAGATGAAATTGGTATACTGCAATTCTTGTTGTTAGTAAGAAATATTTTAGTATCATTTAAAAACAAACAAAAATATCTAATAAGTTAATTTGTTCAATGTACTATTAATAATTTCAGATTGAAAAATTATATATATATATATATAATACTATACAACAATATTTACATTTGTGTATATACATATATACATACATATATAGATGAAAAATCATATATACAAATTTACATATTGTAAATAAATAAAATGTTGAATATAAATTTTCAATATAATTTTTTTCGAATAAGACAATAAAAAGTATCTGACCATACAAGTTTTTCTAATTTCATGACCATGAAAGTAAGGCAAATAGTCATGTATAAATTCAATGTTACAATGATTTCTTTTAATTATTAAAAAATACGTATGATGTTAAAAAAAAAAAAAAAAAAAAAAAAAAAACATGAATAAACATATAATAATTTTTTTTCTTATTTTGATTTGAACAATATATATCAGTGTCAAAAAAAGGTGCATGTAAGAGAAATCATTTAGTGATTGATGTTTTCATTTTGTGTTTCATACTTTATATCTTTGTGCATTATGCTTTACAACTTCAAGTTCTCAAATATATTTTATAGTATCTGCATTTGGTTTTAGAGTAACTTGGGCATCTTTAAAAGGTTAAAACTATTCTTTATTCTTTAGCTACAAAACATTTCAGCAAACAAAAAAATAAAATTTAGTTAGTAACAAAGTAACACTAGAATCTTCGTCAAAACAAAAACAACGGTATATATGGGATAAAAGAGGAGTGAATGATGTGCCAATGGATAACTAGACGAGGTTAGTGACTGGATTGTAAAGACCAATTAATAACCAACATGGAGTCTAAATAAAGGATTAGAAATAATTAAACAAAATTTGCAAAAATTCCACATTATCCCGGCATAAGGATAAAACGGGTTTTCAAACAGAGTGGCATCAATATATCTTATTACAGTCACGACCTTTTTGAATTTTAAATGTTGAACCGTAGCCGAGGAGAGCATCAAATCCTACCACGAAAACAGGCACTACTTTCTCCAAAAATACCTTCCTCTAAAAATGGCCCCAACGGGACAAGCAATTCACATTTTTCATGGGACTCTGATTCCACAAAAGATGCGCATCAGTACCTCATGCTAAAAGTATTGACGCTTTGTCAGTAGGATTCCTTGGGAGTCTGCACACATTTATGATCCAGCCAGGAAGAGTATACCCGGCCTATTTGTATCCACGGATTTCAAGAGCATGAGAAAGAGGATTTAGTGTTTCTTTGTGTAAATGAGTTCTGTTAAAAAGAGGGCAGCTCCTTTAAGAGAAAACTATGTGAGCCGATCCTATATTGTTATACAAAAAGCCAAGCAACCTAAACTAAAACATTGCGTAGGGGGCCCACCCGAAGTCGAAATCACACTGGGGCGGTAAGTGATAGATGGTTGCATCCGAGGTCTGGTGCAATTGCGTATTCGGATAGAAATGGAACCAGAGGTATCAATCCAGTTAGCGATCCAAGGTTATTCGGATCCAGGATAACCAAGATCATGGATTCAAGGCCACATCATTTTTTCAGCAACTGTTCGGGACTGGAGGGAGACATCAAAAAAATCATTCAGAATTTGTGGAATACTTGAAAAGGAGAATGTGTCCATATATGTGATACTCCGAGCTAGCAAAGTATAAGCTGCATTCACCTGTATACATCGAAATATAAATGCATACTACTGGTATTTTCCTCTGCTAGCACCTGCACTTCCCGCATCCTAATCTACGTCGCATGAAAGTAATCACAATCCTCCACCCACTCAGACAACAGAGATCCACGCTGAGATTTTGTCTCGTGTTAATTGCTTAAACACCACTTCAGGTCTGGACAAGTTGGCACCAGAAGCATGCATCTCCATGTCCCTGCATATGTAAAGCATTCAACCAGCAATGATCACTTGATGATCACATGACGTAGGCGACAAAAAAATCTTACGAGGACCAGGAGTGAGAAAAACAAATAAAGCTGCACCAAAGCAGTTATAACTAGCAATGATCACTTGATGATCGTAAAAAGGTAAGGTTTTACTAACCTGAAAAGCCCCGCAACTGCTTCATATTTCGTATTAGCATTGGATGACTGATTCTGCAGAGCCAAACCAAAGATGTCAACTAGTATTCCGAAGAATCTATGGAGCACAAGGTCAAAACCTACCAAAATACAATAAATTCCTCTCATTCGAACACAATTAGTGTGGACATTTGGACACTCCGGTTTACAAACATATAGAAGAATCCGTGAATGTTTACATTGACCAAACCAATACCTGTCCGAGCGATGTGGCAGCATGAAGCATGCTTGCAAGCAGTCGGCGGTAGTCCTCTGGGAGAGTTTCATTACGACTCCCATCTTCAGTCGCTAACATGGACTTCTGCTCTTCCACTTCCATCGTGCTCGGATCTTGAACAATTTTGTCGGTGTGATTTTCTGAGTTTATGACATCCTTAGGAAGTGTGGGTTTTAGGTTACGATCATTGCTCTTGCAGGGCATATGTACACAATCACATAAGCTCTGTCCGTCTATACAATATGCACAACAGCTCCTTGTACAATCAGTCGACTTCTCGTTGGTACAGGGGCTTGATACTTTACTTGATTCAGGTTCTGTCTCCCGGTTCATCATGGAATCGCATGGCAGTTCAGACCTGCAACATAATGTGGCGTGTCAAAGACTACAAATCAGGTGATTTTTATTACAGCAAGAGACGAAAATGGTATCGACGAACAACGTACCCAGTATGTACAACTTCGCTCTTCTTGAGCTTTTTCTCCTGCTTCTTCGCTCGAGCCTGAGACTTCGACGAGGATTTGTTTTTCTGACGCATGTGCTTTTGTTGACTTCGACGTGACAAGAAAGCAGGACCATGTCTATGTCCAACAGTATGTGAAACTATACTGCATATAGGATCAGTTACATCTGGATGCCAAGTCACATACAGTTTTGGACGTGGCCCCAGACCGGCTTCCTCATGCCCACCTCGTAAGGCAGACCTTCGAAGTTTCAACGAGCTCTGCACATCAACGTAACCATTCTAAGTAAGGATACCGCCCACAAACCTCATCCTACTATGTTAGACCACATGTTTGAAGAAAACACTGAGCTAGATGCATTACAATATGAAAGCGGATCTCCGTTGTTATTCAGAAAACAAGGAAGAAACCAACGCTTACCGACGCCGTTTTCTCGCAATACGAAGAGAGCGCATCTGATGAGGAATCAGATGTTTCCGACTCTTGGACGGTAAGATCTCCAACATCGCATAACGTGATCGCAAACCCCCCATCTGATATATCGGTTTGAGAAGAAGCAGATCTGCGTCCTGTCTCTGGATTAGAGGTTGCAGAGGAACCTCTCACCTTACTTTTCGAAGCTCTCTTCTTGTTCTTCTTCTTAGAGAGAGAAGGTTTCTGAATCAAATCAATGCGCACGTTGCTGCCGCCATCTAGCCCATGTTCACATTTTCGCACCGACGCAGTCCGTGAAGCAGGCAGCAAAACTCGAAGATGCCCGTGTTTGGAGCTCTTTAAGTTATGCAAGTATGTGTCACAGTCAAAGCATAAGGCTATACCACAATGCTGGCACCATAGCAAGTTGCTCGCATCCTCTTCTCGTCCACCGCCGCAGCTCTTACCTCCTTTGAGGCAAGTCGAAATGTCATTAATGGACATCTGACAACCAAATTTCACAACGTAAGCATCAATGCACAGCACAATACCTACGTTCTCCACAAGCGCGAGCCAAAACACCACAACAAAAAATCACCACAAGCCTCAGATCTAGGCAACAAAGCGCATTTCAGTAACCTAACGGTATCCCAAGAGGAAATAACACCAAATACCGAAACACTACATTCCAACAAGACGTCATCCAATCTAAATCCCGCCAATTACGAGACATGTGCAATAAAAAATCACATCCGCTCATGCATCAACAGGCTCAACAACAATCCCAAAAAGAGACAAAAAAAAAGCACAAGAAGCACTTCATCACAGACCTCAGATCTACAAAAGGAATGTGCAGGGCCACTCGGCAAGAGGGAGAACACACGACACACCGACTTCAACACAGCAATCTGCAAAGCTCTGCTCCGCTTCCACGCACGCCGATACACCCCAAAAACGCTATATAGAACAAGACGCGGCCATTTTTGTGACAATACGACACAAATTCTACGACGAAGAGTTCTAATTCACACACAACGTAGCTCCTACGACGCAGATTGTGAAGGAATCGAGGAAGAGAGAGTAGGAAGAGGCGATCGCTGTCAGGCCGAGCGATTATAAACAAACCCTACTCTCCGCTCCACTTCCGGCGAAGGGCGACGCGCATCCCCGGCTCCTATAACCGTGAGCGTCCTTAGGACCGTCGATCTCTGTATTGGGTCGAAAGGCACCGTCGATCTGTGGTCATCGTCCCTCGCGCTCGGGGCGATGAATTCCCGAAAGCATGCAAAAAAAAGCTCTTGAACTTTCCGATACTTTCTGCCGACGTGGTCCTTGTAGACATGCCCACCCCCTGAAAAATCCGACGTGGAGACTGATGTGGGCGGACCTTATTTGCAGGACAGGGTGTCCTTGCGACGCGGATGTCCTATTGGCTCGAACTGTGACATGTCAGATACCAGGGTAAAGTCTGACCTGCTGATGTGGATCAGGCCTATCTCTTTGACATTTTCGGTGGATGGATGGCTGGATGGATGGGTAGATCGATGGCTGGAAGGATGGATGACTAGATGGAGGGATGGCTGGCTGGCTGGATGGATGGGTGGATGACTGGATGGATAGTTGGATGAATGGATGGGTAGTTGGATAAATGGCTGGAAGAAAGGAAGGGTGGATGGATGGATGGGTGGTTGGATGGATGGCTGTGAGGATGGATGGATGGATACGTGTCGATGGATGGATGGATGTGTGGGATAGATAGATGAATTAATTGGTGGATGGATGAATTTGTTGATGTGTGGATGTGTGGATGGATGGATGATTTTGTTGATGGATGGATGTGTGGATGGATGGATGATTTTGTTGATGGATGGATGTGTGGATGGATGGATAGTTTTGTTGATGGATGGATGTGTGGATGGATGGATAGTTTTGTTGATGGATGGATGTGTGGATGTGTGGATGGATGGATGGTTTCGTTGATGGATGGATGTGTGGATGTGTGGATGGATGGATGGTTTCGTTGATGGATGGATGTGTGGATGTGTGGATGGATGGATGGTTTGGCGGGATGGATTAATATTTGGATGAGGTTCTGTTCGTTGTAACAGTTAATCCATCGTAAGTAAGTACGGCTCCTCCCGACGAGATGCACCCGTACTAACTCTTTTTTCATAGAATTAAAATCAACCATTTTTTAAAAAAATTTATTTATGAAATTAAAATTGAAAATATTATGAAATTATATTCATTTCTCATGGAAATTTTGGAAATTTAATTATTATTTAAGATGTGAACTTTTAAATGAAATAAATCGGTTAAAATAAAAACCTTAATTTCCCAAACAAAAAATTTAAAAACATGAAAACAAGGTTTTTTTTAACTACATAAATACATACATACATATATATATTAAAGAAAAAAATATATGGTTATATATATATATGTATATATATATATATATATATATATATATATTAGTTAAATTTGGAAAATATCACATATTAAAAAACATTGTAACTGTTAATGATGGTTGTTTTCTTTGAAGAGGAAGTAACAAAATAATCTCTTGTCCACAAATTCAACACTGTGTTTAGAACATTATTACAACTTAGTCCCATAAAATGTGATGATAAAAAACATTCAAAATAATCCTTTCAAGCCTTAAACTTAACCTAAACCCTTTTGTAATTCAGAACATATCAGACACGTGTATGGTTTTGTGATCTTTTTTTTGAATAGTTGATTTTGGTGCTCAAATTAGCTTTAAATTATGACATCTTACATATTTTAGGCCACGTGTAGTAAAATTCACATCACTTTCCAACCATATTGTTACTTTGCAATGTCTTCATCTATTTACAACCAAATGAATTACTACTTTTTATTTCTGTTTTACTGCGTTTTTATTTATTTATTTATTTATTTATATTTTTTGGTATCTTTTTTAATCTCACGTATGGGAAAAACCTAGAGATAATTTTTATACGTTTTTCAATATTATAAAATACTGTATTCTATTATTACTATTACTATTTTTGAGTTTTTAAAATTTTATTAAACAGCTAAATCATGAGAAACGAATTCATAAGATCTTTACTCATATTAGTTTAATTCCTTTTGGCATAGTATTTAAAAAAATTCTCTTAACTATTGTTCTTATTATATATGTGAATTTTACAAAGTTTTTGCATATCATATTATTGAGTAATAACACAATTGAGCCTTATTTATAGTGTACAGCATCAATTTTTTTGAAAATTTAAATAATGTTGAAATACTTGTTCTAGATTTAACTTACTCTCTCAATTTGGTCATCTTTTTACACATTTATATATTTATCAATGTTACATATAGTATGCTACTTGCATCAAATGCAACCATCATTTTTTACATTGCTATCTTTGTTTATTATAAAATGGAGAATGTCACATACACACTTACACTCTAACCAAGTTTTTTTCCTTCATATGAACCACAACAATTTGTCCCAGAAGTTCCTCAAATTCTTTTATTCCTAACCATTTACAAACTTGTTGTGGGACGTGGTCATAGCCCACCACCGTGGAAGGTGGGACCATAAATTCGATTACTATAGAAAGAACAGAGGTCAAAGAAAGTTCAATGGGAACATGAAAATAGCCATCAAAACAGAAAAAGCTAAGAAACCAACCATAGAGTGGGCGTTTTTATTTATTTTATTAATCCCTGGGAATACGTTCACTAAGAGCCACACTATTAGCATACTTTGTTAACAGGGTCAACACGCACATGATTGGTGGGACACAGTCAGGCTGTGCTCAAAGGGCCATTCATTTACTTATGTACCCATTTCACCCAAAAACCAGAACTCAATTTTACTGAATTAAAAAAAAGTTTAAAAGGATTAAAATTTTAAAATCTCATCCAACTGTATATTCTGCCCCGTTGTTGTCGACGGCGGGTGGGAAGCATTCTATTCTATGGACCCTCACAGAATCAACAACTCCCTGTTTTGTAACAGAAAAGAAAAGAAAAGAACAGTAAAAAAGGGGAAAAATAAACACATGCAACGGCAGAGGTTGTGGAGTCTCGCGGAGTCTGCCGGATTCTTCAACAACTGAGTGGGTGGTTGTGTCTAGAAATGGAGGTGAAATGATGAGCTTCGTGGGCCATGGAGTGCTGGTGGTCCCGCTGAGCTGCAATGATTTTCTTCACCTTCATCGTCGTCGTGTCTGTGTTGTTGTTGTGCAGCTTCAGCTTTCCTCTACCATCAGTGCTTCATCATGCTGCACTCATGGGCTTCACCACCAATTCTGGGAGAAAACACTGCAAAAAAAAAAAAGAAAAAAGAAAAACAAACAAACAAAACAAAAAACAAACAAACAAACAAACAAACAAATAGAGTACCACAGGCACCCCACTGATCACACCGAGCGGAGTTTCGGTGTTCTGGCTATGATTTTTATTGTAAGGCTTGCAGAAGGCGCTTGGAGGTATGAATCGAGATTGGACTGGTGTAGCCCGTGAGGGCTGCGGCTTGATGTGAGTCCCGTTCCATGTCCAGGAGATTCTTCGCACGCGGTGCGGTGTTGTGGATGGATGGATGGAGGGAGGGAGGATGCTGAAGCTTTTTTAAGACAGCACACAATGCAAAAGGGGGGGGGGGTCTTATATCCTCGAGTGATGGACTGCAGGAGTTGCAACCATTTGGAACAAAATGATGGTCGGGTTGGTCACGCAAATGGTGTGCTGCCCCCGCCCTCACCCAACCACCGACTTATTCTTGATGACGGAGAAGCGAGCGAAGGTGATGCGATGCCCATGATTTCATTGTTTGACCGGAATTCTAAAATGTAGGCGTGGCTTGATGCTCTCAGTACTTGAGCTTTAGTGTACCTGCTTTAAACAATGGTTGTGATATATTGAGAGGACTGAAAACGTTGGGGATAGAAATCAGAGCCTGGAACATGAACGAGGAACTGGGCACATCGCGAAGATCCCATGGTCCCAGCAGAAAGCAGAAAAGCAAATTATTATTGTTGTTGTTGTTGTTGTTATTCTTATTATTGTTACTAAAAAGAAAAAGTTTGAAGGAGCTGGGCGCATGGAAGATTGGAGATTGAAAATCAGGGAGCTAGAACAATAAGTACCGCTGCTTTAGGTCAATTTTCAATCACCGAATGTTGAGTACACCGAACGCTGTTGGATAGTTAAGTGGGCATTTGTCATGAAGAGAAAAAAAAATCTACTTACCAGATTGCCAAAGGACGCCGTCGGTTAGTATATAATCAGGACGAAAATGCATTTCATTATGAAAGGTTGGACAAGGTTGGGGGGATTCGAGTTCCAGTAGGGAAAGCGACCTCTAATCTTTCTTTGTCTAGTAGACAAGAAGAAAAAACACCCTCTTGCACGAAGCGTTGCTCTCGTGTACTCGCACAACTCGTTGTCCAGTTCCTCGTTTGAAAGGGCACCACCACATCAGGGGCTGCGCCAAGGTATCCTGAGCGCTCAACGTCCAGCGGACTGGACAAGCAATCTGCACCCCATGCGCTGCAGCAGAGACCGTGTGAAATAGACGCCGGGGGCGGTAGAAGTGAAACGAGAGAAGGCAGAGGTAACTTTCAGGGAGCGGTAGACAAGAATGCGGACAAGTATTGGCTGGTACCACAGCACAAGAGTACAGGATTGGAGTGGGGCAATGTCAGAGACAGAGGGGCGGTCTGTTCTGGTTGGTTCCATGAGTGATACAGCCTCCAATCCGGTACTGCTCTCCCCTTGAGCTCAGGCCTTGAGCAAGCGCCGGCCTAGTCGAGCAGACGATCACTGCAGGTGGCTGACTGCATTGCGGACCGTAGCTGAGCGGACCCAGTAGCCGGGCAGTTGGAATGGGAAATTCTGGCCGATTGGCATTGTGAAGGGTCCTCGGTTGAATGTTGTTGGTGGGATTGTAGCGTGCAGCTAAGGTCCATGCATGTTTTGTACTAGAAAGAGAGGGCGAGAAAGAGAGGGCGAGAAAGAGAGAGAGTGAGAGTCCACTAGAGACTGACACTGTTTGAGGAGAGGAAAGCCTGGATGAAGTGATGAGAGAAAGATCTTGGGATAAGAAGCTGGACAACGCGACGCAGGCAGACACATGCATCGATTGCGTATTGAGAGGAGGGGGACGTGAGCGGAAGGGGAAGGACGGCGGGGTAGCTTGGTTATGGCTGGTTATGGCCTGCGGGATGATTTCAAAGTGTCTCCACGGGAGTTGTGATTACATTATCCGTTTCTGCTGTTTGGTTATGATGTGTGTGGCAATTTGAGCGAGGTTTGATCACGACGATACAACACTATTTGTCTTGCCACATTCCAGTCCATTCGGAGCAACTCCAGTCTCATGGTTTTGAACAACCATTAGGAGCTGCAGGTTTTCTGAGACGAGAGGGTTCGTCGGAACAATTTCTGAGGATGATTGGAACACTCAGGCGAATAATTTCCAGGATGACGTGATCACTTTTTCCTGAGTGACGTAATTTGAAAAGAGCTTTGGAATCTGCTCAGCATGATTTACTCCTTGCAATAGCAGCCCCAGGAACAGATTGTGCCTGCTGCTTCGCCCTCACTGTCCAAGATAGCCAGGCCGTTTCATGCAGAGAATCCATGATGACCTCCGATAGGTACTGCGCATGCGTTCTTTCTTTTAAGTGATTGATTATAGTGATCTGCAGCTGTTGTTGCAGCTATTCCGTCGCCAAACGTGAACCAGCTGGTGTGAGAGCTTCGTGAAACAACTTGAAGAATGCGAACTCTCAGGTTTCAGATTTTGTTTCTTCTTCTCACAATGGTTTCTCGTCTGGCCGTCGCCGGCCGCTTCATACCTGGTGAGCTCTGCAGTTGGGTCTAGCAATTCGCTTCACTTGCATGGTTTAGAGTTTGGAGAGGTGTAACTAAGACACAGCTCGCAGAAGAAGTCGCTGTGACCATCGGGGTATTGTTTTGCCTCATTCAGCACTAGTCAATTTGACACGCGAGGGTCATTGTTCATGATCTCAGGTCCACCATTGACTGCAAGCTCCACAGCTACACCCCAAGTCGAGTTAACTTGGGATCCAAAATCTGAGGAAGAAATGGAAATTGCAGAAGTGATCTGGAATCGTGACCGTCAATATCAGGTGAATATCAGTTCTTTATGAAGAAACCATTCAGGTATTTACCAATGTACGGTGTTTAAATTGATCTAACATTCTTCCGTCAACGCCTTTGACATTCTTCAGGGCATTTCTGTAAGCGTTTTAAGCACTGAGAACACACGCCCATTCTCACGCGCATAAAATAACATGGTTAGTGTCCAAGATGAATTTGAGTCCAAGTTCCTGTTTCTCGGGGTAACTCCACTCGTCAAGACATGTAGTTGGACCGCTGAAGTCAACACTGCCATGCGTTTATTGCAGGATTTGAGTCCATGGTCTTCTCAAAGAGCCAATATTCGTCACGGTAACGTCAAGGTCGTCGGCAGAGACCGTTCAATCTTCGGCCACCGGATTTTGCTGGGTTCAGCTCCCCCGTCTTGCCAAGGGAAGTGTGGAGTGTGTGTTCCCTGCAGCCCAATCCACGTTTCCCTCGGCGGTCCGCATGGGTCAATCACGCAGCAAGAGTATTATCCCGAGGTCTGGAGATGCAAATGCGGCAACCATTTTTTCATGCCTTAGAGCCAGTCGCCATCTGCATGCGGCCCTGTAATTCCAGTTCATTGTAACCTGAAGAGCAGCTTTTTCAAAGTAATTTGCTCATCCGAAACACCACGTTTAGCCTTAAAAAACGATGTAGACATTGAGAGATTTGTACAGTATTGAGTTCGATCCGGTATGTAAAGTAAAGGAGTTGAGATTGAATACGAAAGATGTGCTGGGGCACAGCTGATGCAAGGATTGCTTGGGTTTCAGGGATAGATTGGCTCATGGTTCTCACCATGCTCATCAAGTTCCGGATAGAGATACTATGTATATTCAGGTCGTTTGGTTGGGTACAGCATCGATGCGGCAATGCCTAAAATTGGGCCTGTCAATGTTGTGAACAAAACTCCCACCTCATAGTTAACGGTACGAGCCACAATTTTTTTTCTTTCAGGTTGGTTTTGCAAGTACAGCCTTGTTTGGTTTGCATTCGAAGTGATGATGCACTGCTGGAACGATCATCACTGCGTCTGCTACTGAGCGGGTCGAACCCATTGATTTGGTTGAAGTGTGGCAACCCAGTTGATTCCAAATGTGGACTGAGTGACTCATGGGAACTGCTTTTTGCAGTGCACAGTACTGAGCAGTAAGCGACAAATAATGCTTGAAGACATGCACAACAAAATAAGCTGTACTGAGGCATTCATCGTCCCAGTTACGACAACCCCAATCAGGGAACAGAGTGACTCCGTCGGGACTGCACAGCATGGACCAAGTCAAACGAATCGGGGCAGTCAATGTGCTCTGCTCCTCCCTTGTTGACACAATCATGCCTCCAATCTGCACTTCTTTTATTCAACTTCACCGTGACTGTGTCTAAAACAGAATTTATTTATTTATTTTTAAACTTAAAAAAAATAAAAATTCCCTTCAATTCCAACAGCCCACATTCTTTTTACCATCTGTACAACACTCTTTGAAATCATGCCCATCATCGACTTTCCACTACTAGAGTCCAACTCTTCGCAAAATCAGAGACAATATTGTCTGCTGCCTGAACTTGCTTCAACACGTTGCAAGGGGTTGCTTTTGCGACCACAGTTTTCAGCTGCTTCAGTGATTGAACAGCATGATCGTGAGCATGATTGCCTCGCACACATGCACCCAACTACAGGTAAGATTGAATCGAGGGTTTCATTGGCACTGGAATCTCAAAAACCCTAACACGACTTAAATTGAAAATCACGATTCTCATTACAACAGCGGATTCCAACCGCACCGGGATAGATGGAGAGAGCGCAGGGAGTGAAAGAGATGATGCGAGACTGACAAATCAACCATGATGGCACAAAGGTTCGATTCACCCACCGTCCGGGGAATATTGGCGTGGAGGATTGGGCGACTAGGTTGTTGCGTGATGCTGCAGAAATATTCCCGGAAGCAGATTCGTGTGGTGGAGTATCTGGCAGCGGGAGTTACGGCGATTCCCCCATCGGAATCTGCAACCCTTTCGATGCTCCGACTTCGCGAGTTCCAGCCTGCAAGCTTCCACTGCGATCCTCTGTCGCGAAAGACTCTTCGGGACTGTGCAGGATTTAGGGTTTCGTCCAGTTTTTGAAGTTCGTCCAAGTTCAGTTTTCCGTCGGATTGTTGGATTTCGTCCATGGAGTCCGACACGAGACAGCCCAGCTAAACTAGACTCTGCTCACTGAATTATTTGATGACTTTGATTATTATGATTTTATAATTTTAATTCATTTGGTAGCAAGTAATGTGTTGCTTTGAAAATTCAAAATTACTCCGATTTAGATTTATACCACATTTGTTCAGAGATTCAAAAGGTAGTAGTTGTTATTTGACCTTTGGTGAAGATGATTTTTATACTTGATAATATAACCTAAAAGAATTGACTAATGAATGCAACAATATATTGTTTTCTGTCATTTATCACTTGTCAAACTTGTGATGTATATACAAGGATGAAAATAGTTTACTTAAATTTAAGAAATGTCTTCTGTAAGCTTGTGCATTAAATTTATTATATTTTCATGAATGATTCAAAATCAAATTGTAAATATAGCTGCTTTTATTATTATTATTATTATTATTGAATCTATTTAAAATGATAAAAAATCTAAATTTAATTGGTGTCACTTTAATAAACTTATTTTGACATTCTTGAATTGAAAAATCAAGTAAATGAAACCCAACAACAAGTTGTTCTTGGTTGATTAACCATTCAATCTGACTTTGTTTTATTCATCCGTTTTAAGTTACTGAAACAAATATTTTTTTAAAATTACTAAGTGTTCACTATGATATTATCTACCAATAAATGAAGAACAAACATAAAATTGTTAAATTGACATAGGCATTTACTAAATTGATCCACCTATCATCTTTGGTTGAGGATTCAACCATTTTATTATTGGTTTTTGACCAATACAAATCTAGCAAAGGAGAGTTTTTTGATAGTGGTTAGGATAGGTGAGTCAATTCAATAAATACTTGGATCAATTTAACAATATATATATATATATATATATATATATATATATATATGTTAAAATTTCTTTCAAAATAAATCTAACTTATTACATTTTGTTCACCAATTTCTTTTGTTTATCATAATATTTTTTATTTTGACAATTTTTTTGTTACAAAATATAGCTAAGATGTATAGTTTTAGATAGTTATTTCATAATAATAGCTTATAGATGTACAAACATTAAATTTGAAGATTTTGTAAAAAATACTTCAAAAAATTAAGAAAAAAAATTTATAAATTTTAATATATACCAATAAATAAAATTGATTAAATTCAAAAAATAAAATATAAAAAAAATTGAATTTTAGTATATTTACTAAATTGGTCCAAAATCAAATTAAATAAGTTTGACACTATATTTTTAATATTACAAATATATCAATATTAACACCACTTATAGAACCTTGCATTATTATATTATTCATGAAGATAGAATCATGTTTAGAAATTAGTAATTCAAGTATTCTACTTATATTGGAACTATTTCTATTTTATGTGATTTAATACAGATCTTCTATTGAGGAAGTATTATTGACATGGTATTAAAGTAATAAGATGTCTTAGGATGGGGTCATTAAAGCACATAGTCTTAGTGAGCAATGTTCCTAAACTAATAGAGAAGATTTAGACACAAATGAGTTATATTATTTGTCTAATATATATAACAAAGCGAGTAGTATTCTTACATTAATAGTTTAATAGTTTAATAGTTTAGAGGTTAGAGAGATAAGATGACAAAATACGCAAGTCATAGAAACTCCATTAAGCTAATAGGACTTAATAATTATTACATATGGCAACTCAAAATGAAGGCCATATTTAAATAAGAGAATGTCTAGGACTTAACAAAAAATCACTTTCAACCTAGAAGTTTTCTTATAACAATTGTAGGCACTCAGTATATCAAAAAATCTATGACAAAGGCAAAAAATCTTATCTTATCAAAAATACAACTCTTAATAAATAATAGTCTTCTTGATTTTGTTGCAACTTTCAATAATCTAGCTTGTATATAGGCTAGATTCTATTCAAAATTGATATTTGAAAATCAATTACAATTGCTAATACTCATAAGTTAGCTTCACACATTGAAAATAGCAAAAGAAGGTCTATAGAAGATTATGTCAAAAAAACAACTAATATGAGAAATAAACTTCTATCTATAGCAGAAGTTGTTTTTGATTAGAGCATCTTTAAGTTCGTACTTAATGGATTGTTCAAAAGTTATGAAGGTATTCTTTAAACCTTGAATAACCTTGATACAATTTTAATATTTGAATAGTTGACAATCAAGCTATTGTCACAAACATACATATTTACTCCAATAATCATCTATATGATTAAGTAGAAGTAGATAAAAATAAGTTAATTTCATAATATCTTCTAAAAAAGCTTCCTAAAAGCTTCATAGATATTCCTTTGACTTTACACATGTTTGTAGTTAATTCATAGGCTAGAAACTTGGTCAGCAAATTAGCCACGTGACACACATATTAGTAGCTTATAGAACAAGTTAACTATAAGGTGCATATATAGATAACTTTCTTTCTAAGTTAAATCATGTGTCTAACAAAGTCAATATATGTTGGAGGTCCTATAGAATATCTCTACATAGCTTCTAATTAAAAAATATATTTAGAAGTAAGAGTTAAGCCTTCTTTACTCTTATCAACGTCTTTCTAGTCCTTACTCTTGTTTTAAGACTTTCTAGTCTTCTTGTCTTTGACAATAGCTATTCTAGTTTAATATATTACAATCTTTGAGTGATTGCCTAGTCTTTTCAAGTGAAACAAGAGTATATTGAGATTTTTTTCTTTGAGATTTATATTCTTAACAACTACTTATAAAAGTACCTCGACATGAGTATAGAACATTTCAACTAGGAAATAAGGAGGCTTTGATAATTTATTTCCACTAAAGAATCAACATTCAAATCCTTGATTTTTATGCTCTTTAATTCCAGGATGAATTTCTACATGACTCTAACTTCAAAGTAAGAGGCTATCATAGTGAAAGTAGATTTTTCAGAGATAGAAGGACTTGAATTCAAAGACATAGGGACTTGAATCAAGAGACATAAATTTGTATTGATCTGGATTACATAAGGTTAGCCAATTGATTGTGTGTAATTTTTCTACATTGATGGATCAAAATTGATTCATATGTTTGGTCTCAAACTCCTCTTAGTTACAAAATCCACTTTGAGCTCCATAATTTTGAGCTTGATATTGCTATAAAATGGATGTTGTACCTCTCAAATAACTAGCTGCATACATAATTCTTTGAATGGTGCTTGCTCCAAATAGTTGGAAGTATTGTCGCATGTTGAAGAGCCATTGACATATATCTTCTTGCCTTGAAGTTCGAGAATATGATTCAAGCTTGCTTAATTTTAACCTAACAGATGTTAACTATCTTGCCTTAGAAGCTTTCATTTATCTTTGTAGAGTAGCTATTTAATCTACGAGGTATTGTACCTAAGCCTCTATTCAGGATGGCTTTGCAATATCTCCCATCTTACAATTTCTTTGCCAAACTTTGCTAATGTAATGCCTTCTACTCTTCCAATTGACTTTTTAAAATTAGCTCATAGTAGCTCCAAAACAATAATTGATATGACTATAGTAATTAGCCTCTAATTAGATAGTGACTACTAACACATTATTAAAGAACAAACTAACAATCGCTCTAATATCAATGAAATAGGACTAAATTCTCTTAAAGATCTAAAACCCCTTTAATCTATAGTAATATAAATCTTATCACAAAATAGTATAAAATAGTGTCATATGGCATGATTTGCTATCTGGGAATACATTGGCTATCTAATTGTAAAGAGTTTAGCTTAAAACTTTATATGAATCTTGTCTTAGCTTCCAAAAATCTTTTGATTTGCATAAAACTC